CAGGAGATTCCATGATTGGTTGTGGGGGTGGGGTGAGCGACTGCTCGGCCCCTCGTGTCCCTGGAGGCACCCGCGGCACCCCAGACGCTGCTGAACAAGCGCCAGCTCGAAAGCAGCTACTCCCAGGCTGGGTTTTTTGGGGGGGAAACACGGGAGAATCCGCTGTCTCTACCCCTCCCTGCTCCTGCTTCGGCGCAGGGCTGCGGGGGGCTGCGCTGCGAGGTGCGAGCGGCGGTTTTATCCGCACCCACGGTAAAGCAGGGAGGTGAAGCAGCTCAGCCTGAGCACGGTCAGCAGGGCTGGGCCAGAACAGCCCCCACCGTGCTGGTCCCTGCAGCCCTGCGGCATATTCCTGCTTTCAGGGGTGAAAACAGACATTGCCTTAACGCTGCTGCTCCTCCAGCCACCCAGCAGGTTTTCACCACTCTAAATGTCCATATAGGCTGGGGGTGCTCAGCACAGGGTCCTCCCGTACCTCGCCAGCCTGCCAGGACACCCCAGCTCTGCCCGAAAGGCAAGAAAGGTCCTGGCTCGCTCTGGGAGCAGAGCCCAGCCCACGTGCAAGCGGCAGCGCCGTCCCACGACTTGTGGAAAGCGAGTTCTGCAAAGCTGGATACTTTTGTCTTTAGCATACGTGGCTAAAACGAACAGCCTCGCAGGAAACTCCAAAAGGCGGCAGCGCCGGTGCGTTATCACCAGCCCTTGCACCGACAGCCCGCTGCCAGTATGGAAACCCCCATGGAAATCCCCCCTGCTTCCCAGGACAAGCGCTCTGCTCTTCGCCAGACCTCGCAGCGCGTTCTCCGAGGCCCTTACCAGAATGTCCTCCGAACTGTGGCCGTCGCCAACGGAGAGCCCGTTCAGCTGCTGCTGCAGCTGCCCCATGCCCTGGGGCAGGTCGCGCGATGGAATGAACCAGTCCTGGTCTTCTTCCTCCAGCATCTCCTGGAAACAGCGGTCGAGAAACTCCTGCTCCTGCAGCTCCTCCTCCACCTGCCCAAACACAGCCGTTAGTCGCAGGAACAGACGAGGCATCTTGGTGTTTTCCATACGCTGTCCCCACCTGGTAAGAGCAGAGCCTGCAGCGCGCCTACCTCACCTGGGTACCGGTCCGTGCCTCAGAAACACTGCAGCAGAGCCAGAGCTGTATCTCAAACCCAGATGAACACGGCTTTGTCGACGTGCCTGTAGCCAACCCCGGGAAGTGCAAGAGAACAAAACCCGGCAACTTTTAAGCAGAGCAAAGCCGTGCTCAGGCATTGCTTCCCGGCCGCTGCAGACCGCCGGGGCGGGGAGATGCAGCCTGCAAGCTCACGGCACCAGGCAAATCCGGGCGGGAATGGGATAGGATTTACGGGACATCCAGGCGCATCCGCGTACGCAGAGGATTTCAGGCTGCCAGACTCCAGCAGAGCTTGCTGCAAAATGAACGGGATGGCGAACAAAATCACAGCTGGGAAGCGGTGCTAGGGGCGCGCGTCGTCGTGCGGATCGGATCCTCTGCTGCGGAGCGATGCTGCAGCTCTGCCAGCCCGTATTTTGTTTTCTTGCTTCCCGTGCTTCTCCGGTTCGCTAAACCGGCTCTGCTCAGCCCCCTCAGCAGACCGGTGCTCCACAAGCACCGACGCAGGGTGGCAGTCGGCTCCCGTCGAGCGCGCCACAGATGACGCCATCTCCACCGCAGGAAAACTCTTCCCGAGGCCGAGGAAAGCCACGGGGCCTGGCTGGGGCTCCCGGCGCAGGGGAGCGCAGGCAAAGCCAGGCGGGAGAGACGGGCCGGGTTCCCCTCCTTACCCCCCAGCAGGCGCGTACCACCAGTGGGTCGCGTTCACCGGCTGCTCCCCTCTTCCAGGCTGGTTTTCTCTGGATGCTGACTCGAGCAAAGCGAGCGAGGCAGCGAGCTGGGCAGCCCGTGCCTCCGGCGGCCTCCTGCTTCAGAGGCACGTGGCCGCCAGAAAATGAGCAGACAGGGCGAGAGCCAGAAAACAGCGCGATTTTGAGCAGCTGTTATTGGGTCCAAGAGGGCTGAGTGAATCCGTGAAACACAAAATGCTCTGAAAAGCTTCCATTTCACCAGAAAGCAGAAACTACAACCGCAACTGGCTTCCTGGGGGGGAAAAGGGGAGCTCTGCAACCCACCGCGCCCTGTGCTGCAGCCCCTGAGCCGGGGACGGGCCGGCAGCCCCTGCCACCGGTGGGCTACCGGGGTCCCACTGCCCCAGCGCGGCCTTTAGAGACCTGCCCATCAGAAACGGCTTGGGAAGGTAACCCTGGGAAACCTCCGGAGCTGTCAGTTTTCAGGTTATTCACAGCCAGTCCCTGCTACATTTTAAATCACAAGCAGGAAAGCTCCTTGCGGGGACCGTGCCAAGCTCTCACAGTCACCAAGCCTTGGACGCTGTCTCCAGCCTCAGCTCCTGGATTGCTGCGCTCCACCAGCCTTAGAAACTGGTTCAGGGCAGGGGAAAATCTCCTTTACCGCTAGCAAACCATTCCATCGCTGTCCTCAACTGGGTGTCCAGAGGCTGTCCTTGAAACTACATGCTGGCACTAGCATGTGAAAATGGGTTATTTAACAAAAAACCCACCCCAGGACTGCTGGCTCGCCCCGGCAGGGACGGTGACGGCGACAGCCCTGGGATCCTGCGCCTCTACGGGGCACTGGGCGGCGCGAGCCCGGAGCTTTGGGCATCTCGCAGCACTTCAAACCCAGGTGAACATTCCCTCTCCTCCGAGCCTCGGCGCTGCCGCCGTACTGACGGCAGCCCAGCAGCACCCCGTTTCCCTTCCCGCACCAGAGCCTTTTTGGGGCACGCAACCGGCCATCGGGGCCCATGCCAGCACCGGCTGCGCGCCGGGGACGCGGTGATGACGTCGGGCCTGGACCAGGGGACAGGGAGGGAGAGATCCTGGACATGCTCGCACCTGTACCTACCTGCTACCCCTCTAGCCAGCAACCATCAGCTCCTTTGCACTGCATCGTGACAACCCGAACCAGGAGGGAAAGGGTTTAGTATGTGCTCGGGGCTCTTCTTTGCCTTCCTGTGCTATTTAATGCAGCTCTGTCACCTCCCGCCCCAGGCCCTTCTGCACCAACCTCACCTGCTGTCAGGGCAGTTTCTTCTCATAACAAGAGCCCACCACTCCCTTTTTGCCCTCTGGGATGTGCTGGCTCCATGGGAAAAGGAATGTCGCTAGCATAAATAAGGGAGGACTGTGCCAAGAAGCTCGGGGGTTTCTGCAAACACTGGCCTGTTCCCCTTGCTCGGTGCCCGGACGGCAGGAACGCTTGCGGGGGGAGCGGGGAAGCAGCGTGGCTTCAGAGAGCTGAGGAAGATGGAAGAGAAAGTGGGTCTGGGGGAAGACTCAGCCCCAGGCCTTACAGCAGCCCCAAGCCACTGGGGCTTGGACGTGAAGGCGGCAGAAGCCACCATTGCCACTGAAAGGGACGTGCCTGCTGTCCCCCACCCCGTGCCCCCATCACCGGTGTCTCATCCGCTCCCGGGGGCACTCGGGAGTGACTCCGGCCGGGGAGCAGAGCAGAGCCAGACGAGAGGCACGAGGCGCAGCGTCCCGAGCCAAGCCCCGTGAGCACCCACGCCAGCCCGAGGACGGCTCCGTCCAGGAGCGCTGCCTTCCGACGGACGGAGATGCTGGCGCAGGACAGCTCTCCCTACCCCAGCTGGTGCCCCACCAGCAGAGACATGGGCTTCAAAGCCCTTAAAAAGCGACTCCAGCTTCTGTGTGAACCGTTTTCCCCCGAGCAGCGTTTCACCAGGAGCTGGGCGAAGGGCTGAGCTCCCAGGGCAGCGCTAAGGAGCCGAAGGGCAGAAGCGATGGCTGGCAGACCAGGAAAGCACGGGCGAGTATCTCGGCAACGCAGTGCCCACCACAGGGAAGCCCTGAGGTCTTGGCTCCATTTTCCCCCCTCCTCCATCTCCCTCCGCCCGCACATGCTCCCCTCCGCCTTGCCTCGGCTGCTCCTCCGCCCCAGGACGCTCCCTCCGGCAGGGAGCTGCGGTATGGTTTGCTTTGCGCTTTGCCTTCATCAGGCTTTTAATCAAGACAGCACTTTACAAACATTAACTAATTAATCTAGCACATTTCCATCAGCACAGCTGCTTGTGGGGGCCGGCTGCTGCCTAATCACGTCATTAAATAAAACAAAAGCTTTGAGTCACAGCCCGCTGACAATTGCTAACGTGATGCGGGGCGGCGCAAGGCCGCCGCTGCAGACTCACCGGGAGTTACTGTCAGCGGGCGGCTGCAGTTTCCTCCTGTGGGAACAAGACTTAAGTATTACCATATGGAGATTTTCTGCTGAGAACACCAGTCAAGCTGATGAAATCCTCCTTTGGTGACCAGGGGTGCGGTGGGGACGTGACATCCCTCCGCCCAGCCTGCCCGCAGCTCCAGAGGTCCCTCCCTGCCGGTCTCCCGACACCCCGGTGATGGGAGCCTGGTGCTTGGCCACGCTCGTGGGGACGCTTCAAGGAGGGGACAAGTGTCCAGGAGACTTCAGGTGTCCTGCCAGTAGCACAGCTCAGCCAGCTGAAGGGGCAAGCTCCTTCCTCGCCCAGTTCAAGCTGTGTGACTTCTCTCCAGCTGCTGGGATGATGGCAGGAGGGACCAGCGAGCCTCCAGCAAGCCCGTCCCTGCTGCCTCATGCTGCCTCGGCATTTGGATGAAGACCCAAAGCAGAAGCACGAGGAGGACGCTATGCGGCCGCTCCCTCTGCTCCAGCTCGGGAGGTCGCATCGTTATTCCACAAGCAAGAGCTGTTCAAATCCACGATCTACCAGAAGCTCTCCAGAGCTTAGCTGGCTGTTACGGACACAGCATCTAGCGGCCAAGGCTCCTACCAAGCGGTCTGGCCGCTCCAAGCGTATTTGGGACTGCTTCACTGAAATGGAGACTTCTACCCGAAACGAGAGGCGCTAACTGCAAGAACTCATTGCTGAGCTAGCCAGGCTACGAACGCTCTCAAATTTTGAGCACTGATTTTTATGCTGGTCCTCTCCTTCCAGCTGAGCATGTGGAAAGCGAAGGTCTCTGCTATCACAGCAAAGCACAGGAGAAGATGACGGTGCTGTCACTGTCCCTCTGAGAAAGATCTGAGGGTGTCAAAGGCATCGTGAGGTTTTTTTTCCGACTCTATCCATCCCATGGCCTTACAGGCAGATCCAATGTAAACAGGGTGACTCTTCCCTTGAGCCGCCATCTCCGTGCAGGGCCCGCGCCGGCCGTGACTCACGCACGCTTCACGGTGCCCATCAAAGGACACCTTTCCCTCTCCTCTACTCTCGCCTCAATTTTAGCCGCAGAAATGCAGAGCTGGCAACCACCCTCCCGGTCTTACCTGTCTGTTGAAGTCTTCTTCGTTCTCCATCCACATGTACTCTGCAAAGGGGTTGTTTTCCTTTTCATCGTGGCCGTTCACTACTTGGTCCTCTTTGGATTTGGGACTGGACGCCGTCGTACTGGCGAGGTCGGAGCCATTCATCATTACTGACTCTGGGAAGAGAAACAAGGGGGTGAGGGAGCCGCCGGGGACCCCTGTGCCCCCAGCCCACACCAGCCACCCAGATGGACGCTCGCCACTGCGCTGATGGGCGACAGCTCAGGCTTCCCGCACAAGAACCTGCTGCTTCCAGGCTGTTTTTTCCAAGGCACGGCACTATTCCCGACTCCTCTCCTTGAAAGCGCTGGAAGCAGCGCTACACCTCCCTGGCAGTGGCAGCATTTATTTTTCATGGGTTTGACCCATCAGGGATAGTCTGAACGTACGTGGTCTGGATTTAGAGCAAGGGGTGACTTCACCCGGAGAAGGTGTGAACAGGGCTGGGACAGGCACCGGCGCCCCACACCCCATCCATCCAGTTTAGTTTAAACCCACCAAAAGGCCGCAACTGGGTTATCCCGGCAGTCAACGCGCCACCACCACGGGAGCAGATTGCCCCCGACCCCAAAATACTGAATTTTTTGGCAGAACATACGCGCACCAGTTCGCGTCCCTTTCTCTCCGCTGTAATTTCTTTATTTTTAGAGGGTCTTTCGCAAAAGCCTGTTGGTTTACGACATGAAGGCTGCTCTTTTTATTAAAGCAGGCATTCAGAGTCCCAGGAGCACGGCTTGAAGCAAGACAAACCTCAGGGAGTCCCAAACCTCGCCTTCCGAAAGGCTCCCTGGAGCAGACGGAGCGAAGGACGCCCAGACGGATAAATGAGACAATAATTCAATAGCAAAATCCTATGGAATAGCGAAACGCGGACTGAGGCCAGCACAACCCTGCTGAAAAACGTCCAAACATCACGTAATGACACGCTGGCTGGATGTTTTACTCTCCCCTGGTAAAGGCTTTATCTGGAGCTGAGCTGTGCCCAGCTGCAGCACAGCACTGGGGCACAGGGATGAACTGGAGCGCATCCCGGCTGAGCTGGGGCTGGAAAAGGTGACTTCTTGGGATGCAGGTTGGCCTCGAGGAGGAGGAGAGCCTGGCACAGCAGCCCTTTAGGTACAGAGGGAGGCTGCAGGAAAATCAGCCTCTTGTCCTTGGGGATACAGAGGGGTTTTGCAGCAGCAGCAATCGGATTTGGAGCGGGGAACGAGGCCGGGGAGACCACTAGCGATGATGGGAACTAATGCCCTTTGCGGGGGGACAAGCCGCTCCCCAAAAGTTTCAGGGACCAGTTAGTGATGGGCGCCAGGGTGGGCCAGGTACGGCGAATCCTGCTTTAGGACCACGAAGACAAATTAGACGACCTCTCAGAGCCTCCACGAGCCCCCACAGGGCTGTGAGAGCAACACCCCCGCCGGAGCCCCGGCTCTTCTGTCTCCACCCCAGTCACAGCTGCCCTCAGATCTGCATCCCAGCAGCCGCTCCAGTCACCCGGGAGCGGGGATCCCACGCTCCTCGTTAAACGCAGCCTGCTCTAGAGCCCAAGCAGATTATTCTTATTTTTGGGAGGAATCCGAAACACAGAGAAATACACGACTGCTGTCACACGTTACTCTCCGAAAAGCATCCCCGCCGATAGCAAAGGTGCGCAGCCCCTGCGTACTGACACTCTTGGGTCCCCAAGAGTGGCACGGCTTTAACGCAGCTGCTCCCGGGGAAAGAAAAAAGGGGAAAAGAAAGGGAAAAGGAAGAGCAGCGACGTCCTCAGGCTGCCTGCAGCCTCGGGACACGGCACCAGGCCATGCTGAAGCAGCCTTTGTTATCTGCAGAGAAGCAAGAAAGGCTCCGAACCAAGCACAGACACTTCCCGCGTGCCAAAGCCAACACAGCGGCTCTCCCGTGATCAGCGAGACTTACTGACGGCAGACAGCTCCAGTCTGGCAGGGGAGAGTCGCAGGGAAGGGGGAACAGAGCTGCAAAGCAAGCGAAAAGGCACGAAAGGTTTGGACGGGGGAGCTCTCCCTCCTCCCCGCCTGCTTCTCTCGCCGCCAGCGCAGATGTTTGCACAGGCAGAGCCCGCAGCTCAAGGACGCACGAGTTTGGAGGAGCCGGCGGGGTTCACTGCTTACGTACAGCGCCCAGAGCCGGGTCCCCTACGCAGGCAGGCAGGATGGGTGCTGGGTCAAGCCGAAAGCCCTCCTGCAGATCAGGCAGCTGCTGGCCAGGGACAAAGCGAGGTGCCTGTGCTGGTCCGGCGGCTCCGTACCAGCTGCTGCAGAGAACAGTTTAGCTGGAGAAGCAGCACGAGAGAGGAGGGAAGGTTTTTGCAATTAATTTTACGTTTTGTGTGGTTTTTTAAGCTTCGTCTCCCTCCCCAGACTGCACACTCCTTACTAATCTGGCTGCAAAGAGACCTTGCTCCCGTGGTGCCGGCTCTCGGCAGAGCTTCGCAGCTCTTTCTGAACAGGGTTTTCCCCGAGCGTTTGCCGTGGGTGAGCCGGGACCCGCGGCACGGCCGTGGGGAGCTGCGGGAGGAGGAGAGGCAGAGGAGGGCGGCTGGCCTGGCACAGAGAGGAGGGCGACGTGCTGTGGTTTGGGAGCAGAGACATGAAAGGATGGCTTGTGTCTAGTTTCCCTCCCAGGTTTATAATGCAGCAGCAGGACTTTCATGGCGGTTCCCGTCGGCAGGACAGGTTTTTCAGGCGGACGGGGAGCAGCAAAGGCGGCAGCTCTCAGCACAAACAGATCGTAACGGCAGGGCAGCCCTGAGCGCTGCCAGCATCCCGATGACCGCGCAGAGCCCGCAGCCCCTTGGCCATCCACACGTCCCACTTTGGTGCCCGGAGCGAACCGAAGGGCTCCCATGGGGCGGGCAGGGTCCGGGGATGCCGGCTGAGCTCGGCGTCCCGATTTTAGCTTCCACCAGCCCCTAAGGGGCAGACGGAGAGCCCGGGACCCCCAGCTCGGAGAGGCCAGCACGGACATTTAAGTGTCACGGAGCGAGACAGAAGCCCTTCTGCAGAGCGATGCACCTACACTTTGCTGGGGGAAACAGCCTGCACGTCCACTGGGAATATTCTGGGTGAAAAAACTCACCAAAGAGGAAGACAGGCACCCAAATCTCCCGTCGGTGCTGGCCAGTACAGCACGAAGAGACCCAGGGGCCGGGGTACGTGCACGGGCAGTGACGGCACAGGAGCGACCTATGTGATGTACTGCTTCAGCAGCCCAAACACGAAAGGGACAAAAAATCAAAATCCTGAGCAAAGTGGGTTTTTTTATCTCCCATTTTTCACAGCGGGGTCCGAAGGACCAAAGGTCACAGTTTGCCCCATGAGCCGGTGCTCGGGGCGTGCCAGCAGCCCCTCGCAGGAGCCCCGGCTGTGCGGAGCCATCCCCACCTGGAAAAGCGCCTTCCAAGGGTGCATTTTCCAGTCTGGCCGAGCCAGGCTCGATGTATGTTTTGGTCCGCGTGTTATTTATCTGAGTCACTGGAGCAGCGCTGCAACTGTCAGCCTGTTGACGCTCTACCAAGTACGCGCCGAGCCAGGGTAATTTTGATGTATTGCTCAGACGTTGCAGCAAGCTTACTGCTCTGAGCCATGGCTCCCCATTAAAACTAAAATAAATTAAAAAATCTGCTTTCTTATAACGAAGGCTTCTTGGATTTGTTTCTCCTTTCCCCTGGAAAATTAAGTAGATTTAAAAAAAAAGAAAAGTAATCTTCAACCTGGGGACTGAGAGCTCAGAAAACATCCAGAGCACACAAACCGCCTCCCGAGAGCTGCACGTCCCGAGCCGGAGCACAGCAAATCCCGAGGAGCTACGCGGTGCGGCTGCCTGCGAGGCAGGGAGGCGGCCCGGGAGGTCCCTGCCAGTCTTTACAAACATCATCATCGTTACTCCCATACTTGCCTGGGGCTGGAACAGCCGCCTGGCAAGGTGGGTTTCCTTTGGAAAAGGTACTGGACGACATGAGCTGGGAAACAGAAATTCGGCCCCTATTTGGGCGATGCTTAAAGGCACAACGCTTCAAGGTTACAGATTTCCCGGGACCTGACCCCAGCTGGGGCTACCAGGCGGTCCTGGCTCATTAGCCTGGAAATAGTCATCGAGGCAAATTAGCACAAGCGACCGAGACATCTGAGGACAAACTAATCAGCGCGGCTCGCGCAGGAAGATGCCAACACCATACCACCGTCCCGCCGCCGCCGGCGTCTAAAGAAGATGACTTTTTTTGGAGGAAACATCCACGTGTCTGTGCGGACGTGCCTCAGCGCCCGTGCTGCGGTGCAGAGACAGCACCGTGGTCCAGGCACGAGGCTGGGCATCATCTGGCCCTGCCGCAGAGCTCGCTGCAGGGCTGTGAGCGTTACCTGCCTTTCGAAGCCGAGGGGGAGAAGCAGGAGGCACGATGCCGGAGCCAGCGGATGCGACAGCAGCTCAGCGCTGCCGGGGGCAGGTCTGCTCCCTCTGCCCCAGCCCCTCACCTGATCCCTTTGGCAGCAGCGGACGGGTACCACAGCTGCCCGCCCTCTGCCCACCTCCCTGCCTCCTCTGCCTGCACTTCTGCAGCTGCGCTCCCATCCTGCCTGCACCGCGCTGGTGCAAACCCCGCCGAGGCGGGCAGGTTGTGCTGCGTGAGACACGCTGCCCTTGCTTCAGGGCAGGCGCTGTGAGGCCAAACGGCCTGCCTCGTCCCACCGCTGCCTCGTCCCACCGCTGCCTCGTCCCACTCGGCTCCCGCTCCTTGGAATGATGAAGCAGAGCAAGAGCAAGGTCCCCTTGTCACCACGTTGAGATATTTGATGCAAGAAGGGCAGAAACTTTGTGGACCGACTCTGCAGGAGGTGGGGAAGGACTCCTTAGAGCAGGCAGCACCCAAGCGTAGTGTAAAAGGGGGTGGCTGACCCCGAGGGAGGCCAGGCTGAGACAGAGGAGCGAGAGGACAGCAACTGCGAAGGCGCAGGTACCCGCCGTGCTGCCAGAGGAGCGCAGGAGGCGAGAGCCTGATGCAGAGAAGGAGATAACGCAGGGCGATGCCGTCGGGGCGGCAGGGAAGCAAGCCGATCTCACAGGCAAGCATTTTTCCAGCAGCGAGCCACGTG